AAATGTCCTCATTATAAAGGTGCCCTTATTATAGAAGTGGCCACAGTGGGAGGTTACACTGTACATATATATGAGTGTATTATGTATATAAGTATGTATGATAGATTAATACAGTGCATGGTATATGGTGTTTATACATTAGCCATTGTTATTACAGGTTGTGTGGGTTAGTCTTCTAGTGTTTAGATAGCTGCTAGTTGTTTTTATAGTCAATTCTACGGATCCTTTTCTCTTGTCATTATAAGTATCTGTAATTATGCCAAAGGTTCTAAAAATCGCAAAAACCAATTAACATCATTATTTATATATGTGGATCTACTGGGTTTTAGACGTTACAATACATTTCTTTCTCTCTCTCTCTTTCTTCTCCCTCCATTTTTTGTCTCCCTCCCTCCTCCTCTGCTCCCAGTAATGTGTCTGTTATATTGATGCCATTCTCTACCAATCACTTCATCATGTCACAGGATTAGGTAAGTGTATGTCAGACATTGGTACTGCTGGTTTATTTAGTGACCTCAAATTTTCATTTAAAAAAAATATATTTCACTGGATTATATTTTCGTGGCTTACAAATTGTTGTTAAAATTTTTATTTGATGTTAATAATAATAAAATTAAGTGGAATTAATTTTAGTGGGTTTGATCCTTCACAAAAATTAATCCCACACGAAATAAACCAGCTATACAGGTAATGAAATGTGTATGTACATGTACATGTATATATAATAGTGTACTAGCTACTGGTGTGTATACCTGTTACTGGTTGTTTACTAACTGATGTGGTGTTTATCATTGACCTGTGTCATGTGTCATAATAATAAACTCATAACTGTTTACTGATACTCAATGAACTGTTAATAAATAACAAGATGTTCACATACCATAACCTTTAGCAGTAGCTCATTAATACACCCACAAGTAATTAATTTATTAATTAATACACCCACAAGTAATTAATTTATTAATTAATACACCCACAGAGAGAGTACTGTACTTTAATACACACCAGACTCTATTATACTATATATATGTAATATACATGTATATTATTATTATTATACTGTATACTAGTGGTATTCTCAATAGGTTCAATTGTTCGTTTATTTGTTGAGTGACAGAATGAAATCAATTCACTTCAATTGATGTACCTATGTACTATATTTATGTAATGTATTATGTGCACATACTGTATTGTATTGTATTGTATTGTATTGTATTGTATTGTATTGTATTGTATTGTATTGTATTGTATTGTATTGTGTGTGTGTGTGTATATATGTATTGTACTGTATAGAAGGAAATGTTAAAGGGGAATAAATTTGGTGAATTTGGCATTTTGATAGCCATTCGTCAAAATAAAATCCACCATTTTGAGCCATTATACGCATGCTCAATGGCACGTGGCCACAAATTCGCCAAATTAAAATCCACCAATCAACAAAATTTTAGCAATTCGCCAAATTTTAGCCCTTCCAAAACTTCCCGCTATACAGTATGTATTGTATATGTATTGTATGTACTGTATATACAGTATGTATTATATTGTATTGTATGTACTGTATATGTATATGTACTGTATATAGTGTATGTATGTGTATTGTACTGTATTATATTGTATGTACTATATGTATTGTATGTACACTATATGTATTATATTATATTGTATTGTATTGTATATATGTACTATGTACATTACTCTCTCGTGTATAGTGTTTATAGTGTAGGGTTATGGCTGCCAATAGTATTTTGAGTGTGTGTCCATTAGTGTCAGGAAGTCATGTCTGCCTGTTATTGGTAGATGCTGTGAGTGATTGTTCATATTAGTGACTGACTGGGATTAAGTATAATTTGATTATAATCTGAGTGGTCGGATTATGTGTAAACTTTTATGCTTTTTAGGCTCTAGCTCTTTGCTCCTTGATCTGTCTCCCCTCTCTCTCCTTTTCTCTCTCTCTCCCTCTTCCTTTCTCTCCAGTCTATTGTTCTCAGTATTAATAACATCATTTTACCATAAAAGGCAGCAGCTGCTTGTCTACTCCCTTCCCTCCCTTCCCTGCTTATTGTTATTCTTTTATTATGCTCCATTAGTTATTGTTATTCATAAATGTATTTACTCACCCAATCCACTGGTACTCCCTTCCTCTCTCTCTCTCTCTCCTGCTGTCTATTATTGTTATTGTTTAATGATAGTGATAATGACAACTAGCAGCTGCTTGTGTATAGTAAGAGCCTACTCCCTCGACACATCCCTTCCTACTATTG